TGTTTGGTTCCAAGACTCGATCATTTGATTTCAATCGATGTACTTTCTGATAATTATGATGACCATTGTCAAGAACAATTACAAGATTTACTCGATCGAGCACCCCGTTTAACTTCAATACGTATCAGTTGGAAGACATTGAGCAGTTCTCTTCAACAACTATTCGAAAGTCGACATTTATCTGTCTATCAATTAGAGCTGCTTTACTATGGAGGAACTTTCGATCGAGAACAATGCATGATGCTTAGAAAAGTTATATCAACTATTCAATGTCGAGTATTGAACCTTGTTCTAGAAGATCGGACATTTATACTTGATCTGATCAATACAATGCCTCATCTTCAAGCAATCAATGTTCAATGTCGAACTGGTAAGCGACATCCATCATCAAAAATAACCGAGAAAAATTCTGCATGGTTACAACAACAATTATCATCGACAGATATGCATGCAATAATTACTCAACAAAATGATTTTATTCGATTGTGGATTCGTTAAGCATATTCATAAAATAGAGTCTTTTTTACTTCTTTTATTGCTTTAATAATGATTGTTTTTATGAAGATAATAGCAAACGATAAGGTGCTGCTCCAATAATCTAATGCTTATTGGTGTGAGCATTGAGTGTCGATTCGGTTGAGCGATGCAATGAAATGCTTTTTATGATGCTTCATTTGCCACTATAATTATTCTTTGTTTCGAATCTGTTCGAATTAGTTAAATTCTATAATTATCTATCACGATTGCGGATTTTTCTGTCATCCATATAAATATCACTGCTGATAATAATAATGAACTGTTTAGATCATCACGAATATCTTTATTCAAAACTTCATTATTTCATCGTCGGACCATAGAAGTACAAAGTGAAAGAAAACTTCTTTGTTGAATTTTTCTCGTCTTGTTTTACTCATCTAACACAATATCTTAATACCATATACGCTAATCCTGGTGTACTATTATCAGGTTGAGTGAGAGAGTGAGTCTTATGAAATAATTCAAAGCTACTTACGACGATCGTTTCGTCCTTGCTCAAAGGCTGTCATCAGTGAAATGCCGAAACTTTGATTCGAAGAGATGAAATTTGTCTATCGAAAGAATGGTAAACTGCAGTCACTGCAGTTTTGTCTATTCCCAATATATTGATTATACTAGTAAAAATATGAGAACGTGTTATTGCATAGGGTGTTACAAAAGTTCGGGAGGAAATTTATTGCGAATTATCCCTACAAAGTCTAGACAATTGATAGCGCTGCTTTTTTCTCTCATCTCCTAACAACCGAAATACTGACATTTATCATCTCTAGACTCTATCCTTACAGACTAGTGAATATACAAAAACGAAAATAGTAACTACTGTGAATCTTTTTGTAAAGTCACATATTCCAGAAAGAGAGAGAAATTATGTAGTTATTGGACGCTCACAGAATGAAATGTGAATATCTCAGAAGAATTTATCCTGCCCCACTTGAAAAAGCACATAGAACATACCAAATAAAACACTTCATAATTTTTAACTGTGAGAAAATTTAATATTTAAGTATAAAAAAACGTTTTCTCTAATTACTATATGTATATATTTATTATTGCTTTTCTACTCCGAGCCTGGAAGGATTCGTTGATGTAGTCTCTTGTACGTATAATATTTATTAATATTCTCATTACTAATAGACATTATATCCGTCACTGAAGATAAATATCTCTCATATAGAAGAAAAAAAAACGATATATGCGATAAGAATACATTGAAATTAGAGACACAGAACATAGAAAATAAAGTCACCATTAATTTATGGTCTGCCTCTGTAAATCTGTATTACGTTTTGGCAATGCAAATATGTTGACTTGATTTCGTCGTCGCCAAAATAAAATTCTATCTTTCACTGTTCGACGAAATTTTTTTGATGAAAGCATAAACACATAACAAGTTCCCTAAAACAGAAAATCTATTTATCGAAGTTCGTCAAAAACAATATCCTACCACATAATAACCATAATTCCACAAAGTAAAGAATGAAGTGGCTAACTGTTCACGCAGAATTCGAATTGTATTTTTCGTTTCTTTTTCTGTGATATAATTATATGTGACAATAATTGCATATGGAATTATGCAAAAATTAACAAAAAACACTTGAGCCAATGACATTCGCAGTATTTGTTGATCAACATGTTGACTTATCAGAACTCTGATTGAACGAATATTACGATAAGTTAAATATGCAAATAAGGTTGTTATTGTAATTGGAATTGTCGTCAATAAACCCAAAAGGAATATTGATCTATATGTGATAAAGATTTGATTGAAGACTTGACATGTTTTTGTTACAGATGAAATATCGTAAGATATTGCTGGAAAAATTCCATGAAGAACACAAATAATTATCATAACAACAACTGACCGATGTGCCGTTTGAATCTTGCTTAAACTACGTAATTTGGCACTTCGTGATGTTATTAAAAATTGATCAATCATAGCCATACATGGACATATTAATACAATTATAGAAAAAGTATAGAGAAAATAGTTTCGTGCTTTACACCAACTTGTTGATGTTCTTGTCAAATCATCACCAAAACCTATTGCAATACGAGAAGCAAGATTCATGAATAGATAAGCGATGTTAAAAACTGAATTAATAAGAAAATAAAATGTTGACGGATTTGTGCGATATGAATGAACAGTTGAAAATATGAAAATATTTATTGCATTACCGACGGTTCCTGTGACAAGAAAACAAAAGCCTCCATATATTGTTATCTGTTGGCCAATGTAACTTAATGACATAGTTGTATAATTTATTTTCTTCAAATAAAGTGGATACTTAGTGTTTTCTAGAAACTTCGAACTTTAATTAACCGTTTAGGCACGGGCGTGGTATATACGACATAGAATATTTCTTAAACTTTTATTATTTTTCAAATTGCAGTCGGAAAAAAATCTGGGAAGGATTCTTAAAAAAACGTTTAAAAATACGTGAAAAACAAAGAGGATTTTAGTATGGGCATCAGATTAAACGTTTTTAGAAAAGCTTATAATATATAGCAGGAGCGTTAGTGAAAGACTTAATTTTTTTCAAAACATACTCATCTCCTAAGGGCTAAATAATAATGTAAAAGAAAAGAAAGGAAGAAAAATGTAGCAGTAAAGATTATCATCAAATTTTTTTTCTTAAAATTTTGTCAACATAAAGTACACTCTATGACTATCAGCCGAATAGGAGTGAGTTGCCTGTTTTTTTTAGGGTAAAAGAAATATGAGAATGTTAGAAATAACTTTTTGCGATGTTTTCTATGGCTAGTCAGGTTTCTCTTAAATTGAGTAAAAGAAAGTATTGTCATAAAAACGCTAATGTCAGATGTGTAGGTGCGATGGGTTCCGCTGTCTGCTTCTACGTATATGCAAAAGGAAGAAAGTTTGTTTGTTTGCTACGTTCTTAGTACCTGTAATAACTGTCGACTAAAGAGACCGTTAGAGAAGAGAACCGAATGCCTTCTGAGCGCTCGTGCCAACAAATCCACATCTTTTCTCTTTCTGTGCCAATTCTGTAATTCTTGAGGGTATGTGTGGGTACCAAAACAGTGGATTTTAGAATATTTGAATACTTGAACTGATACTTGAATTCAACTTTCAAGTTTGACACTACTGAACAATAGCAAGCAACCGTATCGAAAAACAACGTTTTTTCCCACAATGATACACATAGTCACTTTCTTTTATGTAAGAATACAACAACCACAGTTATTTCTCTTGTGTGATAGTTTTTATTTATTGAGAATATCAACAATTTTTGTAAGCATTGGTTCAAAACGTTTATTAGCATCTAATACTGTTCCTATCATTCGATTCATAACATAAGCAAACGAGAAGTTATATAATGGTGCAGCCAAACCAACACTTCCACCTGCTCCTGCAATAACATAAAAATATGATATATCTATTAAAAAAAATATGAATATTTAAGTTACCTAGATGACCAAAACTCCCTGGTCCTAATTCAGGATATGTTTTATCAAAAAGCATGAAACCCATTCCAAATGATGACTGTGTTTGTGAAAGTAGATCCAATTCTCCATCTGGTGTGTTCGATTTCGTTGCTAATTTCAGAATATCTTCATTTAATATTCGTTTATATTTTCCATTATCAACATCACCAATCAATAATGAATAAAGTCGTGCTATTGACCAAGCATTTGATATTCCATTTCCACCTGGTACTTCTGCTTGATGTAAACGAGCATCGTTGAAGTAATCGAGAACAGTATTTAATGATTCATTATTGAGATATTGAGATAGTTGACTAAATTCATGTGGTGATACACGATATTCTTCAGTTGATGGCAAACCAATATAAAATTCAAGATTTGATAGAGTTGATATTTCATCTCGAACAAATTCCCCCAATGATCGTTTCTTTGAATCAACACGTCGAATAAGTTCACCAGCAAGCCAACCATATGTTAGAGAATGATAACTATGAGCTGATCCAGGCACCCAAGAAGGTGTTTTTTGTTCCAATGTGTGTATTATTGCTGTCCAATTAAGATATTCTTCAAGTGGCACAGTAATATCTGGTAGTCCAGCACGATGAGAAAGAACATCACTTACAGTTGTATTCTCTTTTCCATTTTGTCCATATTCAGGCCAATAGTCAGTGACTAATGCTGAATAATTAAGTAGACCACGTTGAACAGCAAGTGCCACAGCTGCAGCAACAACTCCTTTTGTTGTTGAAAACACTAATTGTAATGTATTCTCATCATACGGTTTTGTTTGTGATTTATCAAACCATCCACCTGATAGGCCAACTACTAATTCACCTTGATGATACACTGCTACTGATGCTCCTATATCTCGATGTTCAACGAAATTATCTTGAAAAAGATCATACATAAATTCCCAGCCAGGTTTAATAGTTCCCCGAATATTATAATCAATCGTTTTTGTATAACTAATCGTTGATACAACAAGAATAAAAATCAAGAGTAGTAGTGTTCGACAGCAACCCATGTTTTAAGTGTATTTTAAACGAACAAAAGAAGCAGGTAGCTAATATATATAGAACGAGAGAATAGGTTTAAATAAATATCAATATGTAAAATAGCAAAAAGATATTGACATGTATGGTAATGCTAAAGGATTAAACTAGCATGATCGAAATATGGTATTTTATTACGAATACGTCAACGAATGACTTTTCAAAAATATCCTTTGCTTCACTCGTCATACATTAAGCGAAATTGGGTTGAAAGGAAGATGAGAACAAAATAAAGAAATAAAGTTCGTTACAGTACAATTAGACGTACTGTAATATGATTCTCGATTAGGCACAATTCATATTTTCAAATACCGTCCGTTAATCTCACCCTTCGAAGAATCGAAGTTATTGGCCATACTTTTGTATCGAACTAAATGAACATAAACATCTCATTCTTAGTGCTTTTGCATTGACTCTGTGTGCATTATCTCGTATTACTATGTCATTTACATTTCGATGTGTATGACATCTGCTCGGCAATCATCCTTATATTCATTTGCTTATTTCCTTCCGTTTATTCCATCAGTATCAATCTTCTTCGTTTTTATTTTACCAGAAAAAACATAGTATCAACGATGATAAGAAAATCTCACTCACTTTCTTAGATGAAATCAAAAAGAGTTGACGGAAAGATACTGAAACACTCGAATAGAGTGACACGAAGAGTTTTAGTCAATATGCATCAATGAGATTCGTTACAAGTTTTATCAACAAAACTGCTTTTGAAGTTATTTCGAATTTTTTGCTTCTTTCATCTTGGCAAGTCGTTGTTGAGTTAGTTTGAGAAGACTTGTAACCAATGAATCAAAATCTTCATAAACACATCGATGACTGACAACACAAATACGAATGTGAAGACGATTTCCAATACGACTAGTTGATGGAATAGCCACACCTGACATTTGCACATCTTGTGTTAGATCAGCATTGAACTGATCAATGACTTCATGATCATCTCCATCCAGTTCTTTTGGTATAACTCGAAAATTAACAATGTTCAATGTGATAGGACGAAGAACATGAATGATGTCTGCATGTTTCTCAAGTAATCGAGCAAAGTATTGTGCTTGCTCACAATTGTCTGCGATCTTCTGTCCAAGTTTGCCAATACCATGTTCTTTAAATGTGAACCACACTTTCAGTGCACGAAATGAACGAGACAACTCAGGACCTAGGTCACAAAACCACAGATCATCAGGTTCAAAATCTCGGATCGTCTTTGTCAAATAAGTCTGATGAACGGCGAATGTCGATTGTAGATGAGAGCTTTCTCGAATGAGGACACAACCGGCATCATATGGACAATGTAACCATTTGTGAAGATCGAATGCAAGTGAATCAGCTCGTTCGATTCCCTTGACAAGATGACGACGTTCACGATCAAGAATAACTAAACTACCAAATGCTCCATCAACATGAAACCAGATATTTTCAGCACGACAGATAGCAGATAACTCAACCAGATTGTCAAATGCAGCTGTATTCACTGTCCCTAGATCATGCAGAAAAAAATAATTGAAATACAACTCTCTCTCTCTCACTCTCATTATTCTATTTACCTGCATTGCCAACGATACAAAAGGGAACAAGACCTTTCTCACGATCTTCTTGCATCGCTACTTTCAATTCATCGATTTTCATACGAAAGTCATCATCAACTGCTATCAAATGTAATGCTTTTGATCCTAGTCCAAGCAATTCAAATGCTTTGACCAGACATGCATGTGTTTCTGTTGATGCATAGCCAACCAATTGTGGACCATTAACATGTCCATCTTGTCGAATATTTCCTAAAGCTTTTCGTCGAGCTGTTGCTATACTTATTAATGTTGCCATTGATGTTCCACTAACGATCAAACCAGCATTCTTAGCCTCTGGAAAACCAAACATCTGTCGTATCCAATTGATCACTGTACGTTCAATAAGTGAACCACTGTGACAAAAACCACCACAACTCATATTAATCGTTGCTGCTATCATATCTGCTAATGCGCCACCTAATGTTCCTTCACCACCGACCCATCCCAAGAAACGAGGATGTGCATTACCAAATGTATAAGGGACCACATAAGTGAATGTATCGCGACATACTTGTTCCAATGATTGGCCTCGTTTTGGAAGTGGATCATCGTTGAGTACAGTCCACACATCATCTGGAATTGGTATAAATGCAGGTCGATCTCGTATCGATTCAATGTAATCCAGTGATGAATCAAGAACTTCGTGAGCTGTTTTGCGTGCAGACGGCCAATCAGAAGGATCAAGAGAAGAATTCTTCTGAACTGTTGAGGATGAAATAGGACATTTGAGATCAGCGATAGTGTTGATATATGTCAACATTTGTGTTTTCCATTCGAAGAGTGACTGAACATTGGAAATAGGTTCACGCAGTTTCATCGAAACTTTCTCAAATAATTCTTCCAAAGTCATCTTCTCCATTTGATTTCAATATTTAATCTTAGAATTCGTAGTTCTATGCATAAAGAAAACAAATTTACATATTTGAAAAAAGATCATTACATCATTCGATTTTCTTTCAATACAAAGCAAAAACGGACAATAATCGTTGCAAAACACACACCTACACTCAGAGCAAAAAAAGAGATAAACAATGGGAAAGTAACGATATTATTGCGACGAAATGACACAAAACGTGTCATATAAGTAAATAAACGAATACAGTATTTTGTTTTTGTTTTTCGTTCTCTAATACAATCTCAAGCTAATCAAAATATCTCTACCTTTACTTTAGTTGTACCATTTTTCTGATCAACTATTTAACACAGCACATTCTTTTATTTCTTGTAAGTTCATCACTTCATTAACAGATTTTGTACATAATCATCATCGAACGCTTTGTCTAATACATATTCGACAGTTATGAAATGAAGAAATCAAACATTCTTGTTTTGTTTCTCTGTAGAAAACCAATTCAAAATGAGTACATCAACCAAATGGCGTGAAATCTATAATAGAATAATGTCTTTACCAAGTTTAACTCCATCTGATCAAGTAAATGAAGCGATTGATTCATTACGAGAACAAATTTCTCAATCCAATGAAGATGATCTGAATAAATCTGGTTTAACTGAACAAGAAATTATCCAACTTCGTCAACGTTTCAGTCAATCAGTTTATGAACTTGAAAAGTCTTGGGCTCATAAAATTCTTAATCATTCAAATCATCAATTGACTTTAGAACAATTTCCTCAATGGGATAATTATCTCAAAGTCATGAAACGTGAATGGGATTCCATACAAATTTATGCAAAAGAATTTTTAACAAAAAAAGTTCTTCTTATTGGAGGTGGACCAATTCCATTATCAGCTATTATTTTAGCACAACAATATCACATCTCTTCAGTTGTCATGGATATTGATGAAGAAGCAACTGATTTAGCAAGAAAAATCGTTTTTGCACTTGGTTTACAAAATCAAATAACTTTAATTCAAAGTTCAGGTGAAAGTTTTCAAAATTATCAAGAATATTCTTTAATCTATGTTGCTGCATTAGCTGGACTTGTTTTGGAAGGAAAACAAAAGATATTTGATACGATTAAAAGTCAAACAACACCTGGAACATTTATTTTAACACGATCAAGTCATGGAACAAGACAAATTCTTTATCTTCCTCTTCATCAAAGAATTCAAGAACAATTTGAAACCGTTATGGAAATTCATCCTAATGATGAGGTCATGAATTCAATTATTTTACTTAAAACTATTTAATGGAAAATATCGATTCGGGCGTTTCTTTCCAAAATCAAATCTTTTTCATTTGACGAACAAAAATAAAAGAAAAAAGTAAAAGAAAGATAAAAATAGAGCAAATCAAATAATGTTGCATAACAAAAAGGAGAACTAATGTATCTTTTCCATACCAACTTCCCCCACCAACACCATCAATTAATTTTCCCCATAAAAAATCATTTGGAATAAAATAAAATTGATCTTTCAAAGGAAATTTTCGATAAATTCCATAGAGAAACGTTGGACCAGCACTTAAAATAATTGTTAAATGATACAAATAAAACCAACGATTAGCTGATTTTAATCGACTTATTGCAAATTTAAAAAACGGATGATATCGTTTTGAAATCATAAAATCTGTATTTGCGCTTATTCCTTCTGTTCCAATATGTAAAATAATATCAGGTTCATTCGTTTTTTGTTCATTTTCATAAAGTATTTTCGAAATTAAATCATTTACAAGACATTTAACATCTAAATCAATATAAATTCCACCATAATGAAATAATAAAAAATATTTCATTGAATCAATTCTTTGCATATCATATCGATAATTTTCATAAACTGATACAAACCACGGATATTCAGTTTTTAACAAATTTAGAAGTTTTTCATTTGTCCAAAGTGTATAATTATAATTGGAATTCAATGTTCGACATGATTTCGATGCTAAAAGATATTTTTCATTCATTGATTTCTTTTCAGATGATGAAATCCAAATTTGATGAATATGACGTGGAATTTCTGTTCGAATTAATGAACGATTATTTTGCCACATTTCAATATCTAATTTGACTAAATCATCAAAATCTTCATTTGGAATAAAATGATCAATTAAAAATCGACCGGTTTCGATTAAATGAACTAAACAATAAAGAAATGCAATCATAAACAAACAAAGAAATAATTTTCGATAATGAATTTGATTTATTGATATCAGTCGTCTTCTCATTTCTTATTCATAAATTTCTAAAAACAAAAAAAAGGTAAAACAAATATGAAAAGTATTTCTCATTTTGATTCCAAATCTCTTTTCATCTTTATGACAAAGTATAATGTCTTATTCGTTCGTCTTAGATTCTTTGTTGGAAACAAACATCAATCGTTGCTATTCATTCTCAAAACAAAAGAGGTGGGTCATTCTGTTTCTTTAAACTGGCGTCGTTGACAACTGTCGTAGAGAAGAGAATCAATCAAATTCAAATGATCGTTATATTTCTTATGCGAATGAATGAGAAATCGATCGAAGAAAAAAGGCTGAAGGAAAATAAAAATGAGAATGCCATCTGGGCACATTGAAATAGATGCTTTTGGACATTTCATCAATTATCATTCAATATTGATTAGCAAATATAAGGAAAGAAATTAATCTATAGAATTTAAAGTTATTTAACAGACAAACACGAAAAGAGTGTCATTTATGGTGAAATTTACAAAAAAAAGGAAAAGAAAAACTTTTCAAATGTCATTCTTCGTAATAGATCATTCAAAAGTATAAACGAATATTGATGTCAATTCTTGTCATCATATGTTCTATCAATACAAAATATACAAAGAATTCTTCATTTAGGATTCGAAAGAGAGATAAACCTACTCTTTTTCTCATCTTTTCTATACACATATTTTCAAAAAATATCGAAAAGAATATAATAACAAAAGAATCAGTGAGAGATGAGAATGGATCTGAAAGCATTAAAAGATCGACCAATGTCAATATCGAACATGTGCAGCACTATACTTTGTCATCACAAACGGTTAAGTGTAGAGAGTCGTGTTACTTGTTGGATTGTCTTGATGAAAAAAATCTTTTCGTTTCGTATGATTCTACTCTAATCAAACATCGATCATCATCAAATAATGAAAATCTAATGAATAAGAAGCCATTTCATATCACCATAATTGTGTTCAATTCATTTATTGATTATTTTCAAGTCAATTTCTTCTTTTTCATATTCAATTGTATTCGATTAAAACAATCTATAAGTAGCTTGTGTTTGGTTAGCAACCTATGAGCAGAATTTTTACTGTGTAAACTTGTACGATTCTATAGAAGTGAAGATAATTGGCGTATTTTATTTATAGACATTTTTCGTCTGCACTTTTTAGCATTACAAATAAACCGCTAGTTGCTAAGTGAGAACATTGCTTTTCTTTTCTTCGACTCATAGGAAAAATGAAGATTTGTTGTTTTTTTTGTATAAAGTATGACGCCACTCACGAAAAAATTTTTCGATCAAAACCACGGTAGATCACGGTGCGAGAGGGCGTTGATGTCAGCGGTTTAATTGAACCGCGAAAGTCAGACCTTTTATTAGGTTCTCTCACAGCGGCCGAAACCGCGGTTATTAATGGTTTTTCGAAAAAAAAGTAATTCACTATCATGGTATGGTATATCATCTCTACTATCTATCTCATTATCATCTACTATCTTCACATGGTCATTTCACACCTCGATCAGCTCATTAGATGCCACTTCCTTTTGTTTATTCTTATTCTTTTAATTAAATTCGAATGGCTTACCTTATGATTGTAGTCCACTAATTCCATTGAACCATCTGGTGATGATCATATTAAGATTGAGTGATATAGTCTTTCTTGTCTGTATCGAGAAACTTTCCGATTTCGATCGCTACGTTTGATTTACTAGTGAGTTTAAAAGAGTCTGACGAATACTAAAGACCTCTACGGATTTCACAATTTTTCTAACTTCTCTAGATGCTCAAATGACGATAAACTATGCACTATGTAGCTGGAAAGACTCCTATTTATCATCTATATTGATGCTTAGTGATGTTTTAATGAATAATCTATCTTGATGAAGTTACATTTAGAAGAAAAACATTCGTTTATTACAATCGTGTAGCTGATTGATCGTGATACTGCGTATTGTTAAATGGCCTAACAAGTTGAGAGATCATAACTGCTATATCTGTAAATCGATATTTTGAGAAAACAACACGTATCTCAAATGTATCCGTCGAAAAATATTTGTTCAACACTGAAAAATCTGGGTGAATGATAAACTCTCCAAAATGATTTATCAAACTGATCAACTCTTTAAGATATGTTTTTTCCGTTTATTAGTATCATAAATCTTTTGATATACTGTCTCTTATGATCTACTCAAAAAAAGTATTTTATACGTTGCAATCTGATAAACGTTTTAGGTTATACCAAAAGATTTATGATGCTAATAAACAGAAAAAATGCATCTCAACGAATTAATCAGATTAATAAATCCTTTTGGAGGGTTTATTATTCCCTACGGATTTTTTTGCAGTGAATCTACGTTCGAGTTTCAACGATATCATTGGATTGTGATAAATAGCTGTCTTTTACTGAAATCTTATCAATATTTTAAACTATTTTAGAACTAAATTTTTAATGAAGTACATGTATGAGAGCAAATTGACGTTTATTAAATCTTTATATACCTCTAACGATGAATATTATCTACATGGGTGAGCTTATCTGTAAAAAAAGTACTCCTTGTTTGAATATCTTCAAGGTACATTTCAAGACAGATAATAATAGAGAGGATGCTGAGTTTATTATAGGTTGATAAAAAACAAGTGCGTTTATATTCTCTCATTAACTTTTCTAATAAATCATGCCGTTTATCAACTAAAAGAGAGATAAATCGATTTGAGTTTGAATTCCTTTTTATCGTACCGTGATTTAAAGTATCGAAGTTGTTGCGATACATTTCCATAACAAAAAATAGATGAAAAGTCTAATTAAAAACAAGAACTAAAGTATTCTGGACACCGATATCCTTAGGGAAAATTTGAAGATCATTCGAAGTTAAACAAGTAAAAGTATAACTCTTTTTCGACTGCATTCTGTCCGTTTTCAACATAACGAAAAAGTCTTGAGTGAAAATGAATGAATTCAATGTAATCTTCTTATCAAATGCTTCTTCTAAGTTTTTAATTGCTAATCATATTGACGTATTCGTTATTCGTGATAATCATTCTTTAAAATCAGTAGTTTTCCTTTCTGTTTTTGCGTAACATATCTTTTAAGTAGTTGATCAATTGTTGTGATTATAGTACACGACGTAATGATAAACGATGATTCGTTGTATTTGAAGTGCTTGATATTTCTTCCACTTGACCTCGTCTCATGACGTCTACTAAGACAAAAAAGAAGCGCGAACAGTTTGTCAACATAGCGCCTTTCAGATCAAATTGGAAACATTCACTGTCTTTTCTCGACAAATATAGATAACTAGATAAGTTTCGTCAGTTTGATCGTTCATCCTCTCATTCCGACCTCTATTTTGTAATCTATCGTTACTCTCTTGTGTCATATCGAAATGTATGAAGAGAATGTTAGTCAGATCAAATCGAAAATAACAATAACTACTCATACTTGATGTGGCGATGTGTACACGTGTGCTTCGTTGTAGACGATCGTGAAAAGAATATCGACGTGTTTCATTCGTTTTCATATATACATATAACATTCTACTTTTGTTTCTTCGTCATGTACATCCATTTCATTTAATTCTTTTTATAAACTTTCACACTAACAAGCTCATCGAATTGATTTTGGCTGTTTCATTTGTCTAAACAAAAGTGCAGATGTCAGCAGAAAACAATCTGTCTAGAATACGAAGGACTACTTGTTTGACTCATCAAGAAGAGAAAAGAAAAAAGTCAATACACAACTAGATATGGTATTTTATCTTATCAAAACAAACGTCCATTCGACATCGTTCGATTCGAACACAAACTTTGTACTACCGACATAGTATAAAAAATCATCGTGCTTTCTCGACTCTTTTAGATCGAAATTATCATTATGACCAAAACTATTCTTGTCACCGGTGCCAGTTCATTCATTGCTGGATGGATTATACGATATCTGCTTGAGAAAGGTTACAACGTTCGCGGAACGGTTCGATCTGCAGCAAAAGAAAAACAAGTTCTCGATGGAATCGCAGAAGAATATCGAAAACAAATGTCATTTGTTCATGTTGCTGATATTACAAGTGATTCGTTCGATGAAGCCGTTCGTGATGTTGATGGAATCATTCATGTTGCTTCACCATTCCATTACAAAGTCACTGACCCAGAAAAAGATTTACTTCTTCCAGCAATCAATGGAACCACTCGAGTTTTACAAGCTGCACATGAGTTCAATCAAAACAATGAAAACAAAATCAAACGAATCGTCATCACNTGTGAAATAGATTGTTTCTATGTTCTACAGCGGTTCACTGTGTAGCGTTTTCGATGTAAATATTTCTTCATTGCTACCGAGTGTCTTCATTCATGTCGGATATTTGGTTGAGTCATTTGTGTATGATTTTACTGATTTACACGAAAATAATCGAATTTTATTAAGATGAAGATTTGTGATTGAAAGAAATATTTTTTAAAGCATCAAACGGTACAATGCTCTCACCAGATCGTGTTTTATAAATGCAGAGATCAAGTGCTAAAGAAAAATTTCAAAAAGATAATCAAGTTTTAAATGCATGAAATGAGTTAAATCGATATAACGCATACGGACTAACTCTAACGTGTTTTTATATTTTTAGCCACACACTAAATCCTGAATAAACGTTAGCTGTTGGCGAATAACTATTACATTGACGAAAATAACAATACGACGGACTAAAATTGACTCCATTACATGTGGATTGTGCGTCGCAAGACGTTTGACAAGCCACGATACTAGAGCCATTACCGGTTCCGACATTGGGACATGATGAGTCAGGTAGAGTTTTATTATAAGCATACAGAGTCCATTGAGATGAGGCTAAATAAAATAAATGGAATGATTTTTAATACGTTCACTTATTTCATTGTGGTGGAAGACCAGTCTAAGTATATTCGAACAGACACAATTCAGATAAGACACGAAATTTTGGCAAGGAAGACATTTTCAATGTGAAGACAATCTTTCAAGAGTTTTTCTGACAATAAATTCGTCCTAACTCCTAATTCTCACATAGATCGATATTATAACTGAAGTTTTAGTGCATTTCGTAGATTTCTTTGTGTATCACAGCTTCTCATCTTCAGAAAACGGCGACGTAATACTCAGAGAAAATACTTTGTTACACCAGCATCATCATTTTCAGTATAATGTATACCTGGTGTAAAATAAGAACATCGTTGCGAAATAAACATTACCGCATTATAACTATATATGAAAATCGTTTTCCCTCAAAACCCACTTTGAAATATAAAAAGACTATTGACACTATAGCTCGCGAAAATAGTAGCTATATGTGCAATATCATAATGAAATATACGGATGTACCTGGAGGTAGTTTTAGCCACACATTATATTGTGAATCCATGTTTGTTGCTGGCGAATAATTAGGACATTGGCGAAGATAGCAACCTGGTGCCGTTGGACTATAATTCATTCCATTGCAAGCGGGTTCTGCTTCACATGCCGCTTGACAAGTCGCGAGACTGGCACTATTACCGCTTCCAAGTATAGGACATGGAGGACCGTTAACAGTTGCATTATGTGCATACAGAATCCATCCAGTTACACCTGAAATGAAAGATATCAATTATACACTAATAATACAATTTCCAGTCGTTTCTTTACGTAAATTCTTTAAACCATATCTATTTTCTTCATAAGCTGATACGCACACCGGAAAGTGCTCACGATTATACTGTGATCGACTGTTCTCTCATCTATTCAAACGCAAAATATTATCAAAGATAAGCCGTGCGCAAAAGCAGTGCATAGAGAAAAGTGCCGCTAGAAAAATAAAAGCATGCTGTATTATTACATAACAGTCGGTAAAAATAAATCGATTATAATTAGATTGTATACTCAAGTAGATGGATAAAAAAATACTCTAAGGTTGCCCACAAAGCGTCTTCACGAAAACATGCTTTTTTTGTGAAGTGTGGCCAATGTGGGTGACGAGTTCCCAACATAAAATACTTCAATGGCTTATGAAGAAATGCTACACTCGTGTGCAACACGATGTGATGCGTATCTCGGTGTAGAGCATGCTGTATAGCTCCTATTAATTTTATGATAGACCAGCACACTTGCTTCAATACATGAGAAAAGATAACCATCTGTTGAAAGTGTTTGATGTACAAAATCACTGTCACAGTGACTAGGAATACATCGAATTTTTAAAAAATAGTATGAATGGACGTCTGATTTCTCGCTCTAACATTGTAAATTATATGCGTGACTCACCAGTGGTAGTTGTACTAGTGCTGGTGGTACTAGTACTGGTGGTACTGGTAGTGGTTGTGCTAGTGCTGGTACTGGTGCTGGTGCTGCTAGTGGTAGATGTGCTAGTGCTAGTGCTGGTGGTACTAGTAGTGGTTGTGCTAGTGCTGATGCTGCTGTTGGTGATAGTAGCCGCCACAATGGATGCAGTTGTTGATACATCAGTTGCTGGCAACACTGAAAAAATATTTCATTGTTGAACTTCAAATATTCATTCAATAATACATGAATTTGTTGTTCGACAGCGCTTAGAGATCAACGACCGTTCATTCACTGTCTACCTTCACGGGCACTATTTTCAATTCACAGTGTCAACGGACAGCTTGGGTTGATTCTCCGTAGATTTTCTCAAATGAACATAATCTTTTCACACCTTACATTTCAAAAGCTAAAATAGAAGTTCATGCTACGGAGTAATTCAGAGTCTGTGCAATCAGTACAAAATCAGAGCCTGACACTAAATTCAAACAACGACGAATATTTCTTCTTTTATTCTCATAAATCTGACAAAATCAATCTCTCTGAACTATGATCACAGTATAGAATTCTCTAGTCATTCTCGATCACTGAAGGACCAAACAACTAAAAGACAATCACATCCTCACACTCACCATAATTCTCTGTCAAGCCCACGAGTTCAACGGAAACATCAACAGTGTGTCCATTCAGTAATGGAAAAGGTAAAATAAAGTTTTTCGAATTCGAAAATGTAGACAAAGCTTGTTTTCTAAACAACATTTGGCATGACAGAACATGGGAACAGTGACGTGGATATTTAGCTTGTAAAACCACATTGATATAAGCATCTGAAGATGCACCATTTGCTGATGCTGTTGTGTCTCTACAAACAAAAATCAAGAGTGTGCTACATGTTTTCATGTTAAATCTATATCTTCACTCACTGACGACGAACACGATCGGCTGAGCGTTTATTTAAGAAAGATATGGTAACTAGTTGGATTGATATTGTGCCCGAAGGTAGCTTTGTCAAAGCGTCAAACTAAGAAAAGAGATGCTCGATATGAGATTCATTCTAAAACAGTTCACTTACTGCTCTTCCCAACATTGATTTGTCGAATGGTGAAGGAATAGCACGAGTCGAGATCTGATGCGCACTAGCCAAGCTTGTTCGATACTGTAGTGCCCACGGATCAGTATCTATGACAGAAATGAAAGGATAAGAATGATCAATATCCACAAATATTAACTTACAGTCCTGATTAGATTTGATCACTGCAACAGAATGGTCAGGAAGATACAATGCAATCAACGATGGAATCAATGTAATGGCGATGGCCAATGAGATGCATCCGATGACAATAAGTGCAATACTCAACAAATGATTTCGAATCCTACGAAACAAAAAATACTTGTATTTGTTCTTATGAACAAGATTGCACTTACCAAGAAATGAACCCATCAGATTCAGTTTGCTTCGAGTTTACGTTCTTCATCACAAGCAAAGAATGTAAGTATACTCAAGTTTTACTCTAGAAAAAATTAATCAATTACGCTCTTGTTCAAGTTGGACGAGTATCAAGATCAAATGTGTTTGTACTCACAGACTATTCACTGAGAATAAGAAAGAGAGATATTAGGATTTACTTAATCTTCTCTAAGTGATGCTTATAACATCACTTATTCACTTCACTACGTTTTGTGTTTCTCAATAGTACAGGCCGTGTTTAATCTAATGACATTCTACTCACCTATGTTGTGCATCAATATATTTCATGTATTGCTATAATAAAATCAAGATGGTACTTATGTATTTTCGAAGGGTGAAATTATGATAAAAACGCTATTATAAAGTACCATGACTATTATGAAAAGCATCTGTCAGTCGTTGTTTTCTTCTACTATGACGTATAGTTGGTCCTTTGATGCGTATCTCATTATCGAAATATTTTACTTTTTCTAATATGACGCAGGTCAACAGGAACAGTCGAGCGGTAAAAAGGATGTTGCTTTTATTCAGAGAAATATGTTGATTACAAATAGAATTTCAAACCTAAACATAATATTCTCATCATCATCGTATATCGCAAATTATCGATGAAAGCACTTCTTGTTTGTACAGATTTTCTAGATATAAAAATTATCGAACAAACATCTCGTTTTCTATCAGTAGTCAGAGCATATCCCATGTAAACATTTTTTGGGTCTAAACGCGTTTGAATCGAAATATGTTCAAATTTCCAAAAAAAGAAATTTCTGCAATTTCCGAAAATTCTATAACATATAATTCATCATGGATAATAGACAAGAGCGAAGGATGAGGGTGTACAGGCGAAGGAAAATCAAGAAGTTTCGAGATATTTTCGATAATTTGAGGGATGAGGGACAGGGTCTGGATTAAGGGACTTGTCGCTCACCCTCGCCCACCCCGTCTGGCTGCGTGTATCCTGCGTCTAGTGTTTACATGGGATATACAAAAACAAATGTTAATTCATATATACCTTCAGATAATGTTGCTTTTCATTATTTTTGATAGATTGACAAGTGCGAGTACCTCGAGGATGATTGCCGTGCGAAAAAGGTAAATATTTATTACTTATCAAATTGTTGTTGTTCGTATCATTTTATTGACATAATTAGATATTTCGTATCAATGGCTACTTTCTTTTCGTCAGATGCTTTTGTATTTATTTGTATTTGGCAAGAAAAAGATGAAGGAAACCTGTGTCTAGAAAATAATTGCTGTTTTTATTGGTCACAGCAAGAAAATGTTTTGTTAATTGTTTTCTGTGCGTGTGAACATTGTCAACAAAATCTCACTGTACTCACTGAAGAACATGATAGAAAACGTCTGTTTCAAGCCGACAAATATAAAGTTTACTGAAAAAAATAATTGGTTATGCTAAAAGAGCAAGGTAACGCATTCCTCAATAACTTATGAGGAAAAGGATTGGATCCATCTCGACGGTTCCATGTATCGTTTGATATAAGCGATCAATGATCATCTGACAAGATCGTCTTAACAGCATAGATTAGATTCGAACAAGAGAAAAAGAGTCATTGTTGACATTTTATGAATTCCAAATACCTCACCATGTATGGTTTTCTGTTTCTGTCCATTCTTCGTCTTTCTGCTGGTTTGCGCAGTGTTTTGACTTTGCTGTCTTGATTTTACGTACTACCAGCTTCGCTCATTTCTCTTATATCTCGTGTATTATATTGTCTAAAGAACTCTTAGAGTCTATTATACAGCTTTGTTGTTATAAGATAAAGTGATACATACACTCACACTATTCTTTATGAGTTTTATATCTTTATTAAAGTATACAACTAAATAAATTTTACCTATCGATTTATATTGACACAAAACATAGGAAAATCACACTCAGGTTTACATTCTCAGATAGAAATTCTTTTTCACCGCTTTCAATTCATTAAATTTGTCTTTACTTTTTTCATTCAGGTTACAATCCACTAACGACAGGCTCTCCATTGACGAACATTTTTTAATCATTGAAATCAACAAAGAAACACTTGAATCAGTTATATCCTTATTTCCACCTAATCCAAGTGACTTGATATTCGTTTTCTTGTCACCAATTATCTGCGTTAAATTTTGCACTCCATTGTTCGTTATGAAGTTATTCGATAAATCCAAATGTCTCACTGTCTTGTTCGTGTTTAACATTTCAACCAAATAGTTGATTCCTTCATCAGTAATTCCATTTGATTTCAGGTATAGTTCTTGAAGTTTTGTTTGATGATTGATCGATAAGATCTGAGTTAATAGATAAACACCGCCGTCACACAAGTTGTTCGAACTCAAATCTAGTTGTTCTAGAAAAGGATGGTCAAATAAAATCTCAGTTAAGAGAACAATTCCAAATGATGTGATTTGATTGTTAGACAATGAAATTCGTTTACATTGTTTGACACGATTTGAATTTTTTGATAAAACAATCAGGTCTTTATCTCTGAATTGTCTTCCATTGAGATTCAAATGATCATCAGTGACGTCGAGATCCTCTTCTTGATCAAATACTTTACCTTGATCAAGACGTTCGCGTATTTTCTCTGCTACTGCGCAATAATATTGTCTGTTCTCAAAAATGAGATTGAGTTTATTAGCAATCCATAACTCTTCCAGCCTTGATCGAATTTGCTCGTCTATTTGACAGTTGAAGAGCTCGAGAGATTTCAATGATCCCGAGTTGTTCACTTTGTCAATAATTGCTTTTGCAAAATCAGCTGTCACGATCGAATCGAAGAGAAGCAGACGTTTAACAAAAGGATTTTTCGTTATCAAATCAATTAAATTACGTTCTTTGCAATTTTTTTCCACGATATATATATTTGAAATACACAGGTTCAACGTTTTCAATGCTTTNTCATTCGTCGATGTTTGTTCTGCAATCAAACTTGAATGACGGTTTTCATATCGCCATTTGTGTATCGATTGGGTAAATAAACTTCCAAGGAGTCTTCTCGAACAAAAATTGATATCGATTTACAAATATAATTTGAAGTAAACCAGTTTAATACTTTCACATCAGTAAAAACCAAGTGAATTGCTAATTGATTGATACAAACATCCAACAATTGATTTAAGTCTGCTTCTTTTATACAACATTTTTCAATCATCAGTTTTGGTATTTTCAGACCATTTTTCAATAAATTAATCAACTTGAGAACTTCTAAAGGTGTTTGGTTGTCACTTGTTATTCGAACTTCTTTCGTGTTTTCATCAAATGTTCCTCCAAAGTTCTTCAATTGCTGAACGTATTGACACATTCGTTGTTTGTGATAATCAGTATCATAGTGTTCTAAACATACCCATCGAACATGTCCATCATCAGTTACTTTTTTGTACAAATTTCCGAGAGTATTTTTATTATCCACATCTCCTAAATAATTGACTAGCTCTCGTAATGGTGCACCGTGTAATGGTAAACAATTACTCATCATTTTCACTTCACTCGATGCGTTTGCAGTCATTGATGCTTCTTCCGCTTGATTTAGTAAATTTTCAACTTGATTAATTTTCGTGATCAGAGTGAACGTGTTCAACGAACTAGCAGCATCGGATATTAATGCTGGTGCCTTATGTATATGCATATCAACAATACGGCCGACAATCGGAAGTGCAGTTTTAATGATATTCAATGTTCTCCGTATGTGTACGCCGTAGTCAGCAATAAATTTTGTCGGTTCTTTTATCGCATAACCGTCATGTAGAGCTGGATGTCGTTCGTTTGGATCGTCAGAACAGTCGCATAAAAAATATAATTTATATTCCAGTTGAAAGTAATTGGTTATTGAGCTCAGCATACTCTGATTATTGTTCTCTACTGGTAAAATGTAGAAATATCGTGGAGTTGTGTATTCATTTAGTTCGTACATTAATGTCATTGCTTGTTTGATTTTCTCCTGCGTGCTATTGTTCATAAGAACAAGAGCTCTTTGCATTTCTTGGATATGTTCGATTTGTAAACATTGACTATGATTTTCCTCAGGTTCAAAAGCTTCCATAACTTTATCGATACAAGCTTTAATACGTAATGGTTCGAGTTGATGACCGTTTTCATCATAAAGAAATGATTGTTGTTTGTCATCGATGTATAGACATGTGACCTTAGGGAAGCGTAAGCGGACGTCATCGAAACGAAGACATTCGATGCCATGGAGATTACATGTTTCAATTCGAATAGTTTTATCGAGATAACGAACGGATTGGTATGTTGTGACAGGAATATTTTCACTCATGTCGGATGAATGGAATGATTTTTGTGTTTTGAATGCGAAAACATGCACGAGAATTTATAGGAAATTTGATTTCAATGTAGATGACGAAGTTTGTTTGTATAGTGTGTAAAATCATGCACGGTTTTATTCCGATTACGCAGAGAAAGACAGAAATTCCAACGAGTTTTCAGTGTATGAATCATTTTTGAATTCTTGCTTTTGTCGAGCGTCAAGAGGAATGTCGATGATGTCTCATCTTAGCAGCCGAAGTAGAATTCATAAACACACATACACGAAAAACCGCTCTGCTTTACTTCACTCCATAATGAAATACTAGAGAAGAATGCAATGTAGATTGTTCAATCTGTCGTACTAATTTCACGCAGATTTGTTATCTTCTACCAAAGATTAAAGTGGTCAATGAAATAACATGCGCATATTTCATAGGTCCACGAAAAATTATTTTTATCCTGGTGTAACTTTATAGATAATTTATGAAGTTTTTTAGTCCCTTTAGTCTTCTTAGAATGTGAGAATGAGAGAGATGATTAGGGTGAGGGTGTGGGTGTGGGTGAGAATGAGGGTGAGGGTGTGGGTTCGCTGGATTAAAGGGACTAAAGGGAGTAAAAGGCCTAAAGGATTTTATAGATTAAATATAAAATACACCGGAATAAAACTAATTTCTCGTGGACCCCTCGCATATTTAGTCTTCTTCCTCATTTTTTTGTCTCTTGTTTTCTTTTGCAACTCTTTCGATCTGTTTACTTTTACAGAACTTATCTCTTCTTCTTTGTGCTGGTACCCAATCAGTTTGAACTTTCCTTTCTTCTTTGTATTCATCATATGTTGTCATCGCTTATAAAATGAGAGAGAAAGCGACGATGATGCATAATTGGAATCTTTGACTTATAGTAAGAATGTTTTAAACAGAAGCAAATGAAATCGAATAGCAATCATGAAGTCATTTAGCAAAATAAAAAACGATGATATTTACAGTATATCGCATACAAATATAAGAAGTGAAGGAAAGCGGATGTAACAAGGTGGAAAATCTGGAAAACAGCGTCGTGCTAGCATTCATGTGTCACCATGCATAGAACTAACGATGATTTTTTTTATTCTTGCGTATTTTATTATATAAAATCACTAAAAATTCCTTTCTATCCATATCGAGTACAGAGAGGGAATAGAGCAAGAAAGAATAACTATCCTTATCTCGACATTGGAGCAGATATCTAGAGTAGAAATTTTAAAACAAGTGTCTTCGGAATCGTCTATTTTACGTAAAAAAGCAAGATTAGTGTGCAACAGACGCTTTTTTTAAAGAGAAAAATGGATAGTCTTTTCAGTTCAGCTGGTAGTAAAGCAGCAGCGGAAATTAGAGATAGTACGGTAGAATCGATCCAAATAATCGGTCGGGATTTTGGGACGTCAGTCAAGACATTCTCAAAGAATTATTATCGATCAGTGGATATTTTCAGCGATCGTATGGTTCTTGCCAGTCCTCAGTTAGGATGCAATATTGGTTATGATACAGTGAAAATGATTCTTGACAATCGTCTCATCCAATTACTCCTCGCAATATTGTGCTGCTATTTCTCGGACAAGACACTAACACTCTTCTATCAATTAACAACATATTTAACAACTACAATTGCTGTTCTACTTCTTCGTACAGTTGATTATGGGATTTATTTCTTATTTCTTCGAGCTATTCTATATTAATCAGTACACGCTGATGATATTTGTGACAATCCCTCCAATCATTGCAAAATATAATCCTAAAATAAGTGAAAATATACGTGACAATACTTTAGCAGCTTTTGGCATTCAATTTTTCATCATCAGTGGTGGTGTAATTATACGAGTCTTTTACAATATTGTTATCTTGCATACTGATTATTATTATGCATTATATATCGCTTTATTATTCACTACGACTTTTGTTTATCGTAGATTCTACAAAAATGGTGATACATTTGGTGAATGCATATTTGTGTCCTTGGCGGTAATAGGCTGTGGAGATATTATTTTTGTTGGTATGGCAAAGTTAATACATTTATTGTCGCATTAGACGCTATTCAGTTTCCTGAGGCTATTCACTTTGACATCCTCATTTTCATTGTGAAACATGCGCAACTCCACCCGCATTCTCTAAATAAAATAATCAGCAACCATCGATATTTTCTAGTTCTTTATTTACTGATAATAATTTTCAAAAGGTGTATGAAGATAACGGGAACATTATACATCTGGACAAATTAATTTTCTTGATCCTATGACGCGATATATAAATGTATCGTCGCAACTAGAGAAATACTACAGTCTCCTATACCGAGTGATCGCAAGGTTCAGATATAGAGCAGAACATTTATATAGGTAGGGAATACGTGATGGTGAGCCCGAGTTCAAATCGGATATGTAGCTTTCTATTGCTCGAACATTCCACAATGGTGAGGAATCGGTGGAATAGATGATATTCTCCTACAATGTCAATATAGAATTCAGTTCTAAATGATAATTTCGTGTAATTTTTGACAACGGATGAAATCTGCTGATTTTTAGCGGGCTAACTAATTTGGCGTTTATTTGAATAAAAAAGATTTGTACATTATGATCGATCATAAAAAGGGAGGCAAAGAAAGTATCTTGTGCTAATATCAATTCACTTTCTTTGAAATTAGATGGTACTCTTTGTTGAATGGAAATTGAAGAAAGGAAGATTAATAATCGATCTTCTTTTCTCACTGCGCAGTTTGTCAAATAAAAAGTAGACATCCTATGAGAATTTTCAATCAATTCTCATCAAGAAAATGAACAAAAGATTGACCTATATGAAGACTATCAATATATGTATAATGAATATGAATAATAAGCATAAAATGAGAGAAAGAAAAGCAAGAATGAATATATAAAAATGCATATACAATACATTGTCACTCGAAAAACTCTAAATTGAATTCATTAGGTAGTTGAATTCGGTTTCATCGAGTTGCATGTCATGATTGAAATCAGCAAAATAAAACATTGCACCAGCTGGATCGTACACTTTGACTTTGTGTGCAATATTTGGTGCACCAATTCCCACGTCGGGTCCAATACGGTACGAATGAGAATATGGCTTAGCTGAACTTTTCATACGAACTTCATATTTATATGGATCTTCGACGAAACCATAGTAGGCAACATCGTAACTGATTTCATAAGACACGGATTCTACGACTGGAGTGGCCTAAAATGAATGAAATAGAAAGACCGAGGTAAGCTTTAAGAGAAATTTTGTTTACATTCCAAGAAGCTTCATCTTCTTTCGTAAATTGTGGTGTTTGATTGGACTTGATTGGGCCAAGAAATGTTCGGAATTCTCGATCGTCAATGTATCCATTACGGTTGGTGTCTGCACGGACGAATTGTTCGCGATAGTTGATTGCTGGACTCATTTTCTCTTTGACTGATGTGTTGAGGTTTACTTCTAAGTTTGCTTCTGACTTTAGTTTGAGGAAATGTACATCGGTATTTGTAATTCTTATTTAATTAAACGTAAAATTTGTGAACTAACTCGAACAAAATATTTTCCAGCATTCATTTTCCTTATGTAATCAATGAAAACACGATCCTTCGTAGCACATATGCTAGTATTTTCGAAAACAACATATTTTTCATCAAATTACAAGATCTTTTTGGGCAGAAGAGAAAAACAATTTTCTTCCTATGATAATATGTATATCGAACATTGACAAACTGTTATGTGTGTTTCGTATAATGTTAACTAACGGTGAAATATTTCTATGAACTTCCGAAGAAAACACATGTGAATACTTGATGAGAAATGATGCATTAATCAAAGCAAAAAACACGTAGGTATTTTTCTCTTAACACTCAATTATATCATCGAATATTACCTATACAATAACAACAGCAAATTTTCTCCGTTCTTTTTCGCATAAAAACGTTAATGAATCAGAAAATATTTGATGTTCTTCTTCTAGAGACATCTTCATAGTCGAATGAATACGAAATTCATATGTGACAATCGTTATCGTTGAACGGGAATATATTACAAATTTAGACAGTAGTAGTGAATTGATAAAGAAACTGTGTTCCGTTGCACGGCGACGTCCTGTAACCGTGGTCAGTCAAGCTGGCTTTATGTGCGAACATTTTCTTATGCTGCGCAACGTTTTCAACGAAAAACACAATATTTTGTAAACACAAATTCATCATAGGAAGTTGATGTATATGCGAATAAACAATATTAGTTATTCTGTTTTTACCTGATTTTTTCTTTCTTTCCCTTGCTGGATTCGCAATCGTCAGTACATGACTAATACTCTTCTCTGATTATGCACAATCGATGCATGCGTCATGTCGATGCAACAGTTTCCTATATAAACGTTCGTTTGTTCTTCGCATCCTGAATCTCAATCCTTCATCACCATACGATGTGTGCTCAACGAACAAAACTCAACACTAGCGCTTCTAAATATGGCCTCATACTTCTAGGAAATACTGGTGTTGGTAAATCTTTTATTGGCAATGTTGTACTTGGTCGAGATGTTTTCGAACATGAATGTAGCTCATCAAGCGTAACACATGAGACTGAATTTGAAGATTATACTATTGGTAACGGTTCATTTGCTGTATTCAATATTCCAGGTCTGATCGAAGCTGAACAGGCAGCGGTCGATCGAAACAAGATCGAGATTTACAAAGCGTTTCAACAACGGCCTAATTCGGTTGTTGCTTTTGTTTTCAGCGGCGGATCGGGTGGACGTATTCGCGACGAAGATATTGTGGCCTTTAAAGCTATCAATGATGTGTATCATTTTGATTCTGAATCATTACTTTTCATTATCAACGATCTGCCAAATGATCGTTCGTCGAAGTATGAAGGTGAAACGGCGATCAAATTAGAACGTCTGACAGAAATGCCCAACGTACGGATGTGCTTTCTGGATCGAATCAGTAGACAAGCGGTGAAAATCAGAGAACCACAGCATCCAAAGGCTTATGGCATGGATACCGTTGGAAAAAAGTTTAAAGATGTCAAGAACTTTTTTAAAAAACAGGATGATCGAACGCCAGAGAAACTACCGGAACCAGCACCGGAACTCGATGAACGAGAAATGATGCGCAGAAAGCTAATGGATGCGATAATGAGCTGTACACCTCGTGTCCATGAGAAACGCGGTGAAATTCAATTAAACGTTGACAAAATGAAAACTCTTATTGAAGAATCAAAGAGGATTCAACAACAATTCGAAGAACAACGTGACAAACTGCAGAAAGAGATCGAACAGCGACAAAGAGATTTTGATGAATATAAACGACAGCAAGAAGCAAGACCGCACGAAGTGCATCATTATCATGAGAAAATTATCGAACGAGGTGGCGATGGTGGTGGATTAGGAGGATTGCTAGGAATCATCAGCCCTATTGCTAATTTAATTTCTCGAATTTTTTAAATAAATGTATTTGTATGAGAATTTTAAAATAAACTTTCAAAATCTTAGTCGTCATATCACATCTATATGAGTTCAGAATCGAACAAACAAGTCTTGATGAGGAAAATGAAAATAGAATGTTATATTCAATCTCATTCAGAATACGTGCGATCAGATCAAAATATTTCATCAACAAGAAAAGCAATAGAATATACAATTGATCATTTGATTTTACACCTTTAAGTTAACCAGCAGCGTACAGATTTGCAAAAAAAGAAATTTCCGAAAATTCTATATCGTATAATTCATTATGAACGATAGATACGAGAGAGAGGTAAGATCGAGAAGAAAAAGTAAATCAAGAAATTTCGAGGCAATTTCAGTAGTTTGAGGGGCAAGGGTGAGTGACAAGTCCCTTATAATCCAAACTCTGACCCTCATATCTTAAACTATTGAAACTACCGAATATATATGGAAATTTCTTTTTTTGGAAATCTGAACATACCTCGCTTGTGGACGCCTCGACAGTGGTAAAGAGTGCTTCGTGAAAAAAATTCACTTTGATGTTTTCTTCAAACACTTGATTTATGTGTCATGAATCATTGCCATTCTGTTTTTACCTGATTTTTGCTTTCTTTCCCTTGCTGGATTCGTAATCGTCAATACATGAATAATATTTTTCTCTGATTATCCAGATTCGATGCATGCGTCATGTCGATGCAACAGTCTCCTATATAAACGTTTGCCTGTCCTTGGTGTCCATAATCTTAATCTTTCATCACCATACGATGTGTGCTCAACGAACAACTCCCAGTATTAGTACTTCAAAACATGGTCTTATTCTCCTTGGAAATTCAGGTGTTGGTAAATCCTTCATTGGCAATGTTGTACTTGGTCGAGATGTTTTCGAACATGAATGTAGCTCATCAAGTGTAACACATGAGACTGAATTCGAAGATTATACTGTTGGCAATTCATCATACGCTGTATTCAATATTCCAGGTCTGATCGAAGCTGATCAAGAGGCTGTTGATCGCAACAAGGCTGAGATTTACAAAGCTTTTCAACAACGACCAAACTCTGTTATCGCATTTGTCTTCACCGGTGGTTCTGGAGGACGTATTCGCGACGAAGATGTTATCGCTTTTAAAGCTATACATGCTGCTTACAACTTTCAATCAGATTCATTACTTCTAATTGTGAATGATTTACCTCTTAATCGTTCACCAAAATATGAAGGTGCAACAGCCATTAAACTACAAGGTCTCGTGAATATTCCAAATGTCAGAATCTGTTTCTTGGATCGAATCAGTCAGACAGAATTACGCAGTAACGAAACTAAAGGTGAAAAGAAACATGGATTGGATAAACTAGAACAGAAACTTGCGGGAGCAAAAAGTTTTTTAAAACAGTACAGTGCTTCGATCGAAAAACGTGCACCGGGACTGGGAAAAATGTTGCAAACAATACCACAGCAGACTGAACGAGAGAAAATGCGTCAAAAATTGATTGAAGCAATAATTCAATGCACACCTCATCCTCACGAAAAGCAGGCCGAGATTCAATTGACTGTCGATGAGCTGAAAAATCTTACGGAGGAATCGAAGAAAATGCAGCAAGCAATGGAACAAGAATTGCTTAAACGACAAACGGATATCGATGAACAGCAAAAGAAATTCGATCAATTAAAACAGGAATTAGACGCAAAACCACGCGAAATACATCATTATCACGAGAAAATCGTCGAACGCTCAGGTGGTGGTATCTGCACTATTTCTTAAGCTCCCCTTGAACATTTCTTTCTCGAAACGGACGAATTTTTCATATTAAGTTAATTGTATTTTATTACACATAAAAATCTGAATTCTTGAATAAAAATAAGATTTCCAACATGAAATGGAGAGTATAAGCAAAGCATAACTGCGTAAACTGGATGAATTTGCGCTCGAATAGTAAGGCGTTGAATGTCATTATATGAGATGACTATATAGGAGAGTAGATTTTCTGTCTCAACCAAACAGAAAGCAAGTTTCCAATAAATAAAGAATTCAAATAAATATTGACCAGTTCAAACGTTGAACTTTCTATTGCACAAACTGTTTCATTTCTCGACGATGAGAAGACATGAATGTAAAAAATCAAACAAGGAATTGGAACCACTGATCAAAGTACGCGACAAGAAACCAGTTACTACGTAGTTGATCAATATCCAGCATAGATGCAACAGTTGAATAAAATGCACGAGAACTTTCTCGGAGTGTATGTAAACTTCAAAGAACAGGTGTTATGAGGATAGGAATTCCCATATAAACCCATACTTGCAAATTTGCGGCAATTAAGGATGTAACGAATACTTATGACATGAGTTGATGATGCACCGACGTGAAAACAACAATCTTCGAAAGCACATTTTTCACATGTTTTCATCATGATGTGTATATGAATAGACAGAAGCTATCAAAAATGCAGAAAAGATGAGAACTCAGGTGAAACTTCAGTCAAGAGTGTATGCTTAATAATCATCCCTTTTCATACTATGTGATGAATAATTCTAACAGCACGTTTGTATTCGTTGTCATCGTATGGCTCTAATTAAACTACGACTTTCTTCATCAACGAAAATTTTATCTACTTGTTAGAATTTCTTGTTTTGGTATAAAAGTTCGTTTTGGCTTTTCTCATCATGCACTGGTATTGTGAAGAAAAAAATCGACTGTCTGACATCCATGTGAAGAGAAAGTTCAAATCGAAAATTCATCGTCGAGGCATCGCGACAGATTGTATACGATATAACATCGATTCTTTCTCTTTCCTCTGTCTTCACTTCGATCGCTTACCCTGGATTATCCCTTGTTCGTTCGTCTGGCTCTTTGTTTTCTCTCTCCTATATATACGCGCACCGTCTAATGAAACACATTCATTTCGTTTATTTTTCATTTCGAGTTCGAACGATTTCTTTATTGCCCGATGATTATAAAATCACATCTTGATATCATCTATGAGCGATTTCTTTTATCCAATTGTTAATTATGAGGGCAATATATGATCACATTTCGTCTAGTAAAATAATTATTCTTATCGATTCATATCAGAATAATCTTTGATAATACTTACATGAATGAATAAATTCTTAATGGAAGAAAAGATAATGAGTAAAATTTTGCATAAACAATATAATTAATAAGAAGCACATTTGCACGCGGCATTCGTTTTCGATCGCAGAATATGTTGATACTGCATCGTATCTTTTTTATCCGTAGGATTATTACGTATGTAATCCAGATTTATATTTGCTTTATTATCGAGTTTATTGTGATTTTAAATCTGATATCATCGTGGAAAACAAGCATTTCTTCCATTTCATCTCATGCCTTGCAGTTATCTTAACTATCTTTACACTAATGTATCTGACTTACAATTACGAATCGTTTACACGGAACACGATCGCATATTTTCTCTTATTTGTTTTTTTACTCGGTTCCTGTTCGCGTTTTTAAGGTGTTTGGACGAAATCTGCATTATCAAAGATCACCGGTATGTCTACGAAGAAATCTCCATCATAGTGGGAACTCTCGAGGTTTTTCTCTGTGATACGATTATTATCCTACAATTTTTTCCGCTTCATTTCAAAAATCACAATATGTCACAGTCATCGCTCGACGAGCGTTGGAATTTGAGAAACGTATGTTTGAAAGGAATTTAACATAATACGATTGTAGATGAAAAAAAAACTAGTTTTATTGAACTAAGATTCGTTTCATTCTTTTTGTGATATTTGTGGTTTCTCATGTACGTACGATAAGAAAGGTAATGAAGTTAATAGCACGATTTCTTGATTGCCATCCATTTTTTTCGAAGGTGGCTTCATACTGAAATCATATTGTATACTAGTCAACATTTACGTTGGATAGAACTCACTCTTTCAGTATGATTAGACATATGATGGCGAGGAGAATCATACCAGCAGCAATGGAAAATAGAATTGGTAATGGAAAATGCTAGAGAATTTCGATATGCTATAGATAAGAAAAGTAAGAGAAAGGATACTTACACAGAGTAAGATGAAGATTATGAGAATAAGTTGTGGTACTCGAATATAATTCATAATTGTTGACCGGACTATAAGAAAAAATGTGGAGAAGAATTAAATGAAGAAAACAATCGAGAAATTCTAACCTTCGTTCGGGATATATTGACTTCTTAACAAACCAATCGATGGTCGATAAGCACCACTTCCGAATTCAACAAATAAGAAACCTATCAATATGACTACTTGAACCTAAAATATTATTCAAGTGTTTGCTGGTGTTCGATAAACTGATAGAATTAACATACATTGGACCAAATAACAGCTGAACTAAATCCAGTGATTAAAATAATAGCTATAATTCTACATTTGTGATATATTCAAGTGAAAATTTGCTTGTTTGAGCATTGATGAGACTTACATTATAAGTAGTTGAGGTCGAATTTTCTTCACAATCGCCTCGAAAGCAAACGAACCCATCATATTGGAGAACTAGCATACATAAGAATTTCAGTTTTTTTGCTATAGAATACACTTACTTTGTAACAAGCAAAAATAACTCCGAATGGTAATGGATCAGAAATAGTGAGACTTTTTGCTTTCAGTAGTGCCGGTGTCCATTCAATGAAATAGATGTAGAGTGATGTTTCAAACAAAGCTGTACTTAATCCATGTAGGACAATACGCGAATCTAAGATAATGAAGCGTTTTTACTTTTCTCATTTCAATCCAAGGGTTCTACAAGACTTCTTACCGAATTTTATTAATTGAATAGCAGAAATAAAGCTAACATTCGCTGATACCGTTGGATTTCCGTAGTTTTCGGACCATTCAAACAACATGTATACTATCATCAGAGTAAAAATCACAATGGATGTATCAAATGGTGCGCTGTAACAGAAAAATCAACAACTATCGCTGTACTTTTCAATGTGACTATTGTAATGTACATACATAAATCCAAAGAATTCAACGAGAACTTGTGCGAAGAAACCCATTCCAATGGAAATTATTGTTCCAAATATGTCTGTAGCATAACGAGCATAAAAACAAAGCATATATTAGTATAAAAGAATTCACTTACTAGAATTACGAAGTAATTGTGGGAGTGATTGTAAATTTAAATTACGCTTTTACGAACGATCGTCTTATACTGTAAGTAAAAAGGAGTGCGACTTACGTTTTTGTATTCTTGTATGACCCAAGCTTCGAATTCTGTATGAAAGAACGAATTAGCCACACCACGGATTATATTTCCCATTATCAGAATCGATATCACATTGAAATTCTTCCAACAAAATAATCGATTTACAATCAAACGTGTTTTATTAGTCTTACATATGATACACCACTTAGAATGTATAAGATGCCACAGAAGATACAAGATAGACGACGACCACTAAAATCATTCCGTTGATCAGTTTGTCGCTTTCGTTCTAAATGTAACTTACAATCGATCAGCAAGAGACGCTAGAAAAGTGCCAATGAATAAAGTCGACATATGAGCAACAATATAGAAGAATTCAACTGTTGCCCGAGGGTATCCATAACTATCGTAAATTGCATATCGATACGAAAGTTGTAAGCTATTAGCAGCTAGATTTACTTTCTTCAATGGAAATGATGTATATATGTATGAATTACCTCCTGCAAGAAGATAACCAGTTAGATAGATATTCTGTAGATGCTTGAAACCGGTCTCTACACCATCGATTTCCATCGGCGATACGTTTTGTATTTATCCCATCAAATACAACATATTCCCCAACAAGGTCGACAGTATGCATGTTTTTTTTCTCTTTTGCACATGATTTCAAGCGTGTTTTGATGATTCATCAATAGAGAAACTAAAGGAGTATCGATGAAGCGTTTCGGATTGATATCAGTACGAACACATTAATTTTTATATCTTAATATAAGCATTAGTAACAGACGGAGATTTGACGCTGATAAATTTGTTGAAATATAAAATTTCCTCTTTGAATTTAAATACTGATGAGTGTCAACGAGAGCTCAAGTACGAAAATCCCTTCGATCGCTTGTAGTCAAAGCTGTGTTTTTCTATCTTATTAAAACACTGTACCGATATATCTGCTTTGCATCGTTCACGTTCCTCTTTGAATTGAATATTAGATAGGCCATTAAACAAGCGCTTCTGTTACCTCACACATTCGTGTTGTGTTACATAAAGCAAACTTAAACATGTGGTCTTTGGAAATGATTGTATGATTTAGTTGATAAAACAGTGTGCAAGTGAAGTCAGCAGTGATGTAAATTACTCTATAGCACCCGTCAATTCCCGACGAATAAGGTCACTGTGATCGAAGTCTGTCTACATTTTCTGCAGATAGCAGAACTGTTGCGAGTAAAATATAGACGAGAACAAGATTAATATGAATGTCTAAGTGATATAATTCAAACTTATTTTATGATAATGCTCTACTAATGCCAAGAAAGAATTGTCGCGCACGCTCATTATCGAGGAAGAAAGTTTTATTATTATTATTTTTCTAGACGCTCACGATACTATCCAGATTCGTCAACTATGAGTGTCTTCTATGATCAAGTTTTGAAAGCCAATATTTTTATTCAACCGCTTCTATTTATCTTAATCGTCGTCACGAACATTCTCAAAATTCGCATTTTATCTTCACGTGCTCTTCGCATTTCACAATGCTCTCATTATCTTACCAGCTATGCAATTTTCTCGATTATCTACACTTGTCTATTGTGTCCAACTCAAGTAATACGTGCTTTGTATATCGGATGGGAAGATACACCGATAGGATGTCATATTTACTTCTTCGCTTTGTTCACCCCACCGTATTTGAGTCGAGCTATGCTTATCTTAGCTTCGTTCGATCGATACTGCTCCGGTTCGAAATTGCAGCGACTCAACTTGACCAGTACAAAACGAGCGACTCATAAAACAATCATTCTGACAACAATACTAATAATAGTATACATGTCACCCATGTCTTTCATTTATTATTACGATACAACAACTGCCGCGTGTCGACAGTATACAAATTTTCTGGTGAATGTATTTGTATTCAGTCAAGTGATAGTGTACTATACTCTTGCACCAATATTAATGATTATCTTTGGAATTCTAACCATTATGAACATTCATCAATATGCGTTTATTCGAACAACTCTTCAAAGTTATTCGACACATGGTCGACGCACGGAAAGACAGTTAGCACGTATGTTGCTTCTACAAATTTGTTCGCATTTGATTCTCACGACTCCATTCGGTGTGTTATATTTTATGAACGCATTCAATCCAGCTACGCGTACGCCAAATATCATTGCCATACGTTACATCTGTGTAATGTGGACACAGTGTGATTATTTTCTTTCGTTTTTTCTCTATATTTTGTCGGGAAGCGGGTATCGAAATGAACTTCGTCGGCTATTGAAATTAAATGAACCATAGGACCATATGAAGAGCGTACTTCAGCACCATCAAATAGAAAACAAATCCTCAGTATGAAACTGTTACGAGTAATACGATTGTTTTGTTGTTCGATGTTGTTTTAATTCAGCTAGTATAAGATTCGACGAAAATATGCAGCGTCATAAATGATCACACCGTTAGTACGAGACATTTGAGGCTGCTAACGTTTTCTCACACATATGTTTCTTATTAGTGGAATGGTGTTGAATATTGTCATCGAGTTTAGATAGCACATTGTAAGGCATATGATGTGTTATACATCCGTATAATTTTGTTCTTTCCTACAACGCTTCTCTGGCATCGATGAATCCGATTCCATCGGATATCTCAAAATTTGAATCAAATAGAAAATTTGACGTACAATTATCATGCATCGAGAGAAGTCAATCTGAATCATAAATACCAAGTAATCAAACAGCAGATTGATCTATTAGTGTCCTAATTAGTTGATTACTTACTTCGAAAGAATGCGATGAGATTTTTGATCATATTTCCACAAGAAACTATATCAAACAACGAAATTGATAACCACAGATCCATAACTTGCTGAACTACTTTGAAAACGTTTAAATATTGGCGACCGCCAGCTGAAAGTTTCCTTCCAGACACCAAACCACGATGAAGTTTCAATTAGGGATGCACCAAATCCAATTCCAGTCAAATCCAAATCCAATTCTAGAGTTGGATTTGGATTTGATCAGAGTTGGATTTGGATTTGACTAGATTTAGGTTTGGATTTGACCAGGTTTGACTGATATGTGGCTCATATTTAGTCAGAATTAAATTTCGATCTTATGGAACTGGATTTCTACCCGAACTAGCACTGAATCACAGTGAAATAAACTTGCCATTTTTTACAAGTCTTTCCAGATTTTTGTCTCAAAAAAGGTGAAATACCTATTGTCAAATCCACATTACAGTTTGATTCACTCTTACTGATTCCGACACTGCAACTTACGGAATGTATAGAAAGTCTAAAGCTTTGACAAGATTTGATGATCAAATCCAAATCCAAATCTGGTCAAATTCAAATCNCATCGAGTTGCATGTCATGATTGAAATCAGCAAAATAAAACATTGCACCAGCTGGATCGTACACTTTGACTTTGTGTGCAATATTTGGTGCACCAATTCCCACGTCGGGTCCAATACGGTATGAATGAGAGTACGGCTTAGCTGAACTTTTCATATGAACTTCATATTTATATGGATCTTCAACAAAGCCATAGTAGGCAACATCATAACTGATTTCGTAGGACACGGATTCCACGACTGGGGTGGCCTAAAACAAATGAAATAGAAAGACCGAGGCAAGCTTTAAGAGAAATTTTGTTTACATTCCAAGAAGCTTCATCTTCTTTCGTGAATTGTGGTGTTTGATTGGACTTGATTGGGCCAAGAAACGATCGGAATTCTCGATCGTCAATGTATCCATTACGGTTGGTGTCTGCACGGACGAATTGTTCGCGATAGTTGATTGCTGGACTCATTTTCTCTTTGACTGGTGCGTTGAGGTTTACTTCTGAGTTTGCTTCTGACTTTAGTTTGAGGAAATGTACATTGGTATTTGTAAGTCTTATTTAATTAAACGTAAAATATGTGAACTAACTCGAACAAAATATTTTCCAGCATTCTTTTTCCTTATGTAATCAATGAAAACACGATCTTTCGCAGCACATATGTAAGATATTTTCGAAAACAACATATTTTTCATCAAATTACAAGATCTTTTTGACCAGAAGAGAAAAACAAATTTTTCCTATGCTAATATCTATATCGAACATTGACAAACTGTTATGTGTGTGTCATATACTGTTAACTAACGGTGAAATATTTCTATGAACTTCCGACGAAAACACACGTGAATACTTGATGAAAAATTATGCTTTAATTAAAGCAAAAAACACGTAGGTATTTTTCTCTTAACACTCAATTATATCATCGAATATTACCTATTCAATAATAACAGCAAATTTTCTCCTTCTTTTTCGCGTAAAAAAGTTAATGAATCAGAAAATATTTGATGTTCTTCTTCTAGAGACATGTGGCAAGTTTCGCCAACGCCGATTGAGACATCTTCATATGTGTCAATCGTTAGTTGAACGGGAATATATTACAGATTTAGACAATAGCAGTGAATTGATAAATAAACCGTGCTTCGTTGCCACAGCGACGTCCTGTAACCGTGGTCATCAAGCTGGTTTTATGTGCGAAGATGTTCCTATGCTGCGCAACGTTTTCAACGAAAAACACAAATTCATCATATGAAGTTGATGTATATGCGAATAAAAAATATTATTTATTCTGTTTTTACCTGATTTTTGCTTTCTTTCCCTTGCTGGATTAACAATCGTTAATAGATGACTAATACTCTTCTCTGATCATGCGCGCTCGATGCATGCGTCACGTTTGTGCAACAGCCTCCTATATAAACGTTCTTCTGTTCTTCGCGCCCTTAATCTCAATCCTTCATCACCATACAATGTGTGCTCAACGAACAAAACTCAACACTAGCACTTCCAAATATGGTCTCATACTTCTAGGAAATACTGGTGTCGGTAAATCTTTTATTGGCAATGTTGTACTTGGTCGAGATGTTTTTGAACATGAATGTAGCTCGTCAAGTGTAACACATGAGACTGAATTCGAAGATTATACTATTGGTAACGGTTCATTTGCTGTATTCAATATTCCAGGTCTGATCGAAGCTGAACAGGCAGCGGTCGATCGGAACAAGATCGAAATTTACAAAGCGTTTCAACAACGGCCTAATTCGGTTGTTGCTTTTGTTTTCAGCGGCGGATCGGGTGGACGTATTCGTGACGAAGATATTGTGGCCTTTAAAGCTATCAATGATGTGTATCATTTTGATTCTGAATCATTACTTTTCATTATTAACGATCTGCCAAATGATCGTTCGTCGAAGTATGAAGGTGAAACGGCGATCAAACTGGAACGTCTGACAGAAATGCCCAACGTACGGATGTGCTTTCTGGATCGAATAAGTAAAAAAACGGTGAAAATCAATGAACCAGGGAATCCAAAGGCTCATGGAACAGATGCCGTTGGAAAAAAGTTTAAAGATATCAAGAACTTTTTTAAAAAACAGGATGGTCGGACGCCAGAGAAACTACCAGAATTAGCACCGGAACTCGATGAACGAGAAATGATGCGCAGAAAGCTAATGGATGCGATAATGAGCTGTACACCTCGTGTCCATGAGAAACGCGGTGATATTCAATTAAACGTTGACAAAATGAAAAGTCTTATTGAAGAATCAAAGAGGATTCAACAACAATTCGAAGAACAACGTGACAAACTGCAGAAAGAGATCGAGCAGCGACAAAGAGATTTTGATGAATATAAACGACAACAAGAAGCAAAACCGCACGAAGTGCATCATTATCATGAGAAAATTATCGAACGAGGTGGCGATGGTGGTGGATTAGGAGGATTATTAGGAATCATCAGTCCTATTGCTAATTTTATTTCTCGAATTTTTTAAACAAATGTATTTCTATCAGAATTTTAAAATAAACTTTCAAAATCTTATTCATCATATCACATTTATATGAGCTCAGAATCGAACAAACAAGTCATGTCATGTTCAATCTCATTCGGAATACGTGCGATCAGATCAAAATATTTCATCAACAAGAAAAGCAATAGAACATACAATTGATCATTTGATCTTACATCTTTAAGTTAACCGGCAGTGTGCAGATTTCCGAAAATTCCATGTCGTATAGTTCATTATGAACGATAGATACGAGAGAAAGGTAGGGTCGAGAAGAAAAAGGAAATCAGAACATACCTCAAGTTAACACGTGAAAAGTTCATCAAGAAATAAATAAATACCGACACTCCATGCGTATATTGATACTCAGAGAAAAATCGCTTGTGAATGTCTCGACAGTGGTAAAGAGCACTTCGTGAAAAAAATTCACTTTGATGTTTTCTTCAAACACTTGATTTATGTGTCATGACTCATAGTTATTCTGTTTTTACCTGATTTTTGCTTTCTTTCCCTTGCTGGATTAACAATCGTTAATAGATGACTAATACTCTTCTCTGATTATGCGCACTCAATGCATGCGTCACGTTTGTGCAACAGCCTCCTATATAAACGTTTGCCTGTTCTTGGTGTCCATAATCTTAATCTTTCATCACCATACAATGTGTGCTCAACGAACAACCCCCAGCACTAGTACTTCAAAACATGGACTTATTCTTCTTGGAAATTCAGGTGTCGGTAAATCTTTTATTGGCAACGTCGTACTTGGTCGAGATGTTTTTGAACATGAATGTAGCTCATCAAGTGTAACACATGAGACTGAATTCGAAGATTATACTGTTGGCAATTCATCATACGCTGTATTCAATATTCCAGGTCTGATCGAAGCTGACCAAGAGGCTGTTGATCGCAACAAGATCGAAATTTACAAAGCGTTTCAACAACGGCCAAACTCTGTTATCGCTTTTGTCTTCACCGGTGGTTCTGGAGGACGTATTCGCGACGAAGATGTTATCGCCTTTAAAGCTATACATGCTGCTTACAACTTTCAACCAGATTCATTACTTCTAATTGTGAATGATTTACCCCTTAATCGTTCACCAAAATATGAAGGTGCAACAGCCATTAAACTACAAGGTCTCGTGAATATTCCAAATGTCAGAATCTGTTTCTTGGATCGAATCACTCAGACAGAATTACGCAGTGACGAATCTAAACGTGAAAAGAAACATGGATTGGATAAATTAGAACAGAAACTTGCAGGAGCAAAAGGTTTTTTAAAACAGTACAGTGCTTCGATCGAAAAACACGCACCGGGACTGGGAAAAATGTTGCAAACAATACCACAGCATACTGAACGAGAGAAAATGCGTCAAAAATTGATTGAAGCAATAATTCAATGCACACCTCATCCTCACGAAAAGCAGGCCGAGATTCAATTGACTGTCGATGAGCTGAAAAATCT